CCAGGCAAATTGTGCATTCCTGTGGAATCCTTGCCAGCGGCCGCTGTGGTGACTGGCCTCAGCTCCTCACTGGCCTCTTCACTCCCTGCCAGGTTTTGATGCAAAAAGCTGGTTGTTAAGATGGGAAGAGTGAGTGAAAGCCCTTCCCTGGGGGGCTTTACTCCCAGAGTTCACTCTTATCACTGAGCAGCCAAAGAGCAGGGCAGCACTGCTCATCCAAAGCCAGAGAAAAGCCACATTAATGTCGGGTTTGTGGCCAGGTCCCTCATCCTCATGGTGTTTCCTCTCACTTGCCATCAGAAATGAGGAGGTCAGGCTTCTTCAGGTGCTTGTCCAGTTCACTGCTGCCTCCAGCATTCCCCACGTTCCCCTCTGGATCCGGCCAAGCCGAGTGCCAGGAGAACAGATGCTGCTTAAAATCAGGGTGATGGTTTGTGCACATCGCTCACCTCAGAGTAGGGACAAGGAAACGGGTCTTGCTCAGGTTTCCTGTTTCAGGCAGGATATCAGTTTTGTGCAAATCTTCAGAATCAGCTTGAAAAGTAATTAATAGAATCACAAAACAGTTTGGGTTGGAAGGGACCTTAAATCCCATCTCATTCCACCTCCTTCCACAAGCAGCTTACCCCAACAGTTCTCAGATGTGAGTGAGCTTTTGGCAGAAGAGCAGCTCAGGGCTTGGGGGTTTGGTTTGGGTTTTTTTAAATAGGAGACAAAGGGACTGATTTAGGGATTTCCCTTAGATTTGCTCTGGTTTACATACAAATATAACTAAGCAATTTAAAAAAATAAAGCAACTAAAAAACTAAAACACTTGCTACTTTCGCATTAAGCCCAAAGGTGGAGAGTTTTTGCCAGGACACAGCAATGACACCAACCCTGTACCAGACTGCACCAAAGCAGCCCAAAGGAATTGCCAAAACATTTGTTTTGCTTACATGACTTTTCAGAAGTGGCTGCCATGCTCTGTGTCAGACAGCTCAGGAAGTTTAAAAATATTGCCCACAGAAAGAGGCGAGCAAGGGAAAGAGACAGGCCAGTGGCTGCAGTTTGTGACCATCCCTCGTGGTGAATGGACTTGGATGGACATTTCTCAAATGTGCAAAATAAACTTGGGAAAAAACCCTTCTCAGCCCCCTTTAGTTCACCACTCCAGCAGCTGGGTGAGGGCCAGGCCCATGGTCAGAGCCTCGGGACAGAGGGCAGATGGACACTGACCTGCTGGGTTTATTGTCCCTGAGAATATTTGGTTTAAATCCCTCAGAGGGACAAACCTCCAGCGCGTTCGATGTCCCGACGACTTCACAATAGGAAGGATCCGTTTGTTTTCCAGATCCTAATGCAACGGTTGCCATAAGAACACAAATTATGTGTACATTTTAATGCATCTATGCTTCATAATTATGCATGGTTGTGTGCTGTTATAATTGACATAAAATATAAAACAGGTCAAAGAGCAGCTATTAAAACTATTTTTCATTTTGCTTCCTGACAGCTCCCGACATCAATGCCGACTGCATTTAATAGGACCATACAGGGAATGCAAAGATAGTTATATAATTTCAACCATATTAAAGCCTCCACAACTTGCAACCTAATTATTTCCTGCAGTGTCTTGTTGTGAGCTGCATTACTTTATTTGGAATGTGTTCAGTTTGAGATTAAACAATTGGGCCACATTAAATTAGCATGAAGGGGGAAAATCATAAAACTTTTGGATGTATTTCATAGGGGTCACTCTGTTAGGTTAAGAATTATCCCAGGAGCAATGATTTTCTGCCACTCAAGATAAAAAACAACGTTAGAATTGCGCTAATTCCATGCAGTTATTTTAATCACTGAAGTAAATTCTACCAAAGGGCTAAATTGTAGTTGTACCCTCACTCTGATCACAGAGTGACAGAGAGAATAAAAGAAAATTGAGGAAAAATTGATGAATTTACAGAATCATAGAACCCCGGAATGGTTTGGGTTGGAAGGACCTTAAAGTTCATCTCATTCCACCTCTTGCCATGGGCAGGGACACCTTCCACTAGACCAGGTTACTCCAAGTCCCATCCAGCCTGGCACTGATATCCCTGCTCTTGGTCCTGGCTGCATGAAGGCCAAGCAGCAGGGTCCAACCCCCTGCTTCACTCATTGATCCCCTTCTTGCTCTGGAGTGGTTGAAGGCTCCTGTTCCACTGGGTGTGATTGGGTTTCTTTTGGATCCACACTGGTCTGTATTTTTTAATAAACCCTTTTAAAGTCAGGTTTGGTGGGACACCTCATGCGGGCCAAGGAACACCAGTGGCCATGGTGAGCCCCAGAGCCTCTGCCCATCACGTGGGTGCCAGGCGGGACCAGAGAGCCCGGTGTGTCCTTCCCAGGGACCTGCTGCCCTGCTGCTGGAGATGGTGGGCACGAGGCGAGTTCTATGAGCTGAAGTTCTGCTCCGTGGGACCAGAGTTCAGCCAATGGCAGCAGTGCCCTGGCTGAGGTGTCAGAGCTGTGCCGTGCGTTGCTGTGTCTCGGGTCGCGGCCGCGATTGATCGGGGGAGCGGCGGGAGCTCCTAATGAGTATTGGCACTCCCTGCCTCGTGTGCTCAGTCCACTTAGAGCCTGGATATTTCAGGAGGCTGGTAATGGGCTGCAGAGGCCCCTTCTGTTCTAGCTGGCTGACTCGAGTCCAGTTCGTGGGTACTGGCTGAAAGTTATTGCCCAATTTGTGGCGGATGAGGAATAAGCTCAGTCCAATTTTCCGAGGTAGAGGCAGCCCCATCCCAGAGAGAACCATCATAAATGGCCCTTGTTAGCGACTGGACAGGGAGCATGAGGGCTGGAGGGGGGTAAAGGCCAAGCTCAGCTGATTGAGTGCATTGGCTGTGGAGCATGGAAAGGTCTGTGGCCCTTCTGTCTCTCTTCAACAGAACAAAGGTCTTCTCGTCTCAGGAGAGATCTGTTGTGTTCCACTCTTACTGCCTTAATTTGCATTTGGGTTCTTGCTTCTGATGGCTTTCCTTTCTTTGGCAATTTTCACAAAACATTCCCCTTTTTGCACTTTTCCAGCTCCATGTCTGCCCGGGAAAATAATGATCAATCCCAGAGTCACTGGTTCTCCAGATCCAAAGCAGGTTACCTCGTTCGGGCCAGTGATGAGGCTCTTCCCAGGGTCAGTGAAATTCAGAGAATCCTTTGGGTTGGAAAAGCCCTCCCAGCCCATGGAGTCCAGGCCTTCCTTGGACACCTCCAGGGCTGGGGACTCCAAACCTCCCTGGGCAGCCCCTTCCAAGGCCTGACCACCCTTTCCATGAGAAATTCCTCCTGATGTCCAACCTGAGCCTCCCCTGGCACAGCCTGAGGCCGTTCCCTCTGCTCCTGTCCCTTGTTCCCTGGGAGCAGAGCCTGACACTCCCCTGGATCCAACCTCCTTTCCAGAGCCTTTTAATGTGGTGCTCAGTTTGCTGCCCTGATCTGGGAGCCTGAGCGGAGCTGAGCTGAGCTGGGCTGGGCTGGGCTGGGCTGAGCTGGGCTGGGCTGGGCTGGGCTGGGCTGGGCTGAGCTGGGCTGGGCTGAGCTGATGCGGGCTTGTTTGGCTGGCTGGGCTGAGCTGGGCTGATGGGCGAGATGAGTGGGCTGCTGGGCTGGCTGGGCTGAGCTGGCTGAGCTGGGCTGAGCTGGGCTGGGCTGGGCTGAGCTGGGCTGGGCTGAGCTGGGCTGAGCTGGGCTGAGCTGGGCTGAGCTGGGCTGGGCTGGGCTGAGCTGGGCTGGGCTGAGCTGGGCTGAGCTGGGCTGAGCTGGGCTGAGGCTGGGCTGGGCTGGGCTGAGCTGGGCTGAGCTGGGCTGGGCTGGGCTGGGCTGAGCTGGGCTGGGCTGATGAGCTGGCTGAGTGGGTGAGCTGGGCTGCTGAGCTGGGTGGGCTGAGCTGGGCTGGCTGGGCTGGGCTGGGCTGGGCTGGGCTGGCTGTGAGCTGAGCTGGGCTGAGCTGGGCTGGCTGGGCTGGTGAGCTGAGCTGAGCTGGGCTGAGCTGAGCTGGGCTGAGCTGGGCTGAGCTGGGCTGAGCTGAGCTGAGCTGAGCTGCTGAGCTGAGCTGAGCTGGGCTGAGCTGGGCTGAGCTGAGCTGAGCCAAGCCAAACCACGCCACCCTGTAGGCTGGTGATCAACTGGGCTTTGGCTTTTCCGTCCTCAAGCACAGCTTCACACACCCAATCCTCTGAAGTGAAGATGGAGAAGCACATAAAAGCTTCGGATTCCATTACTGTAAAATGTATCAGAAAAGTGTTGAGCTCGGTAATTACCTTAATCCAACCTCAGTAGTTGGTCACAGCACACATGAGATGAGCATCCAGAGTCAGATTTGAACACCCAGTCAACCCGAACAGAATTAGCTCGGCAATAGTGGCCCGGATTTCTTAATTAGTTCTCGGTGGCAAGAACATTTAATGTTTGCAAAAGTCAAGTGCAAATCCTACAAGTGACACGATTTGAGGAGGGTGCCTCGAGCCCGGGCCGTGCCCCGCTGGTGGGGACAGCAGCCAGGGCCGCCCTCACTTTACTCCCCTCTCTCAGGGTCCCTTTAAACTTCCACAGACCCTCAGTGAAAAGTAATGGTATGATTAACTTCATAGTAATAACCCATTGCATTCAAAATACACATTTAACTCTAATTTTCATTGAACTACACAGCAGCTGAAAATGTAATGGCCATTCCCAGGCAGCTGACGGCACATTTTAGTGCACTGTAATTGGCTCTCTCAGCTTGTCTCGGGTTAATAAAGGAGATGGGACTCACGAAAAAGCACCGTGGTCACTTAGCAATTGTTTAATTTGTGTAACGCTGGTTTTTGGGTTAGAAAATTATTGTTTTCCAGTAGTGTTAAATATTTATGGGATGCAATTGAGACACATGGCACAGGGCACGCTCCCGCTACGCTCACAAATTAATAAGTTTCTGAAAAAATGGAAATGCGAAATAGCATTTCAAGTGTAAAAAACGACTTCTCAGCTTACAGAACATTTGCATTGCTGAGGCTTTATGTTATTGCAGAGGATGGACAAATACTTTGGGCCAGTAGAGGTGATTATGACCTTGCTGCCATTCAGGTTGGCCCATCTGTGCTGGCTGGGGGAGATGGGTAGAAACTCGAGCTCTCTTGAAAATCTGCCCCTCTCCTTTGGTATCTGGGAAGAGAGAATGGCAACACCAGGAATTATCTTCACACTAGGCCAGAATATTCCCTGGTGAAAGCTGTCATGTCCTATCAGATGATACTGCTCTGATACAAGGAAAGATTCAGGTAGTGTACCTTGTTTAAAATATAAAAAAGCCCCAACTAGTGGAATTGCACATTTTGAGCAAGAGAGTGAATGTTACAGGCAGCAGGAAAAGGGAAAACTTTTAAGATGTGTGTGGAATTAAATTTAATTTATGTCATCCCTGGCTGGGGTTGGGTAGGGTTGGGTTGTGTTGGGTCGGGTTGGCTCGGGGTTGGGTTTTGTGACTTTTGAGTTGTGTGGTTTGCCAGCTGGGGGTCATAAGAACTCACGGGTTGAAAGGTGGTGCCCAAACCCATCCCTGCAGCACACACAGTATAACTGTCCCCCGCAGTGTGTGTGCCACTGTCCCATGTCCCCACAGCCTGGCCAGGGGGTCCCCCTCCCACACACACCCCCGGCTTCCCTCGGCTCCAGCCCCTGGGAAAACAGAAGTGTCTGCAGGGTTCCTGCTGCCACCCACAGAGAGAGGGCTCTGGGTGCTGCAGACCTTCCTCTTTCCACAGCACCTCTGGTATTTCCAGTTCCCTGGTGGGGAACACTCACCCCGGGTGGGCTGGGAAGGCCAAAGGCGAGTGAAAGGAGACTTTATTTTATTCCCCATGTGGGTCAGCAGCCTCTGCCAGCAGGATTTGCAGCGTTTGAGCAGGGCCTGGTGCAGGACCTGCCCACAGGTGCCCACCCTGCCCACACCACGGTGGGGTGGCTGTGGGTGGGGGCTGAGAGCTCGGGGTGCTCCGAAGCACCCCGGTGTGCCCGTGCCCTGTTTTCCAGGCAGGAGCGTCCAGCCTCAGCCTCCCGGAGCTCTCTCCATTGCCATTTGTGTTTCCTGTTCAACCCCCCTTTGCAGCAGTTGTGTCAAATGCCACAGCTCCCAGCCAG